CTGAGTCACATGACCTGCTCCTCAGTAAGACACAGTGAGACTGAAGCAGAGGTTTTAGGTTCAGCATCAAATATCCTGAGAAGGCATATCATTTCACGGTACACTGATTAATTCTACCTTGGTGCTTATTGATCATGAATGGTTATCACCTTGCATATTTTTCTTTGGGCGTGGACCACAGGCTTATCCTTGGTGTGGCGGTTGCAGTGTCCTTTTTCCACAGTTATAACATATCTTGTTATTGTGTTGGACAGCAGCCATAGCGTGTGAAGATTTAGATTTTGGATTGCACACATTCAGAGACTCTTGAGCACATGAACCCCACATAAGAAATTGATCCCATGAGTTAATTGTAGGGAGCGATGTTTTCAGCAATTGAGCAAATATATCTTTTAGGTTACTTTGGACCATATGGAGAAAGGATTCTCAATCTCCCTGCCTGATTAAGGTCACACTGGAGAATGTTTGCACTCCCTTTCCACATATCTTTACCTGTTAGACCTGAGCACGGATGCCCTCAAACAGTTGAGCGAATGCTAGGGCAAAAGTCGGTCGGATAGGTGGAGGCATAATGTTGAGAACCCCCACACAGTTAAGAGGGGCCACTGTTTGGGTGATAACTATCACATCAGTTGTGGATAGCATATGTACACATCACTGGACCCATAATTTTACCCAGAAATCAGTGTTAGGGATATTTATCCCGGAAGGCGGCAGACTGGTGATGACATGTCTCTCGTATAAACAGAAGTGTGCATGCCTATTATGCCTGTTGCTAAGAATTCTCTGGCTCCTCCTGCTATTGCTCCTGGTCCCTGGACCACGGGGGCTAGGGCAGGTGGAGGTGGATTATACAGAGGGGTTCAGGTCTGAACACATTAGGGATGAATTGGAATGTCAAGTGCGTACCAGGCCTTCTTATTCAAGATCAGTGCCCAAAATCACTAATGCTCTTGTTGCTGAATAAGCACAAATCCCAACAGCTGTGTTGCAAAATCTAGTGGATAGTTTCCCAGAAGAGTGGCTGCTGTTATAGCAGAAAAGGGGGAACAACACCATATAAATTCCCATGGTTTTGGAATGGAATATTCAACAGGCTGATGGATGTGATGGACTGAAGTGAGAGATTGAAGAGTGTATCATTGTCTCTTTGCAGGTTGTGTAGTTGTGATGTCACCGATGAAAGCTGTGCTGCTCTGACTTCAGCTCTGAGATCAAACCCCTCACATCTGAGAGAACTGGATCTGTCTGAGAATAAACTCAGAGACTCAGGAGTGACGTTTCTCTCTGCTGTACTGGAGAATCCTCACTGTAAACTGGAAACACTGAGGTAAGATCATCTCTCTGAGAGTCACATGACCTGCTCCTCAGTAAGACACATTCTCTAATAGTGAAAGTGATTAATTCCACTCTTGTACCTAAAGATTTGATCTCAAAATTTATTGTGTGTGGTTCCTAAGCACACATCAGTGACTGTATGAGTGGACAAACGTTTCGTCATTGACTCCCACTGTGAGATTTTTTAAGCCATTTAGTGAAACTGAAAGTTGCCATCTTTGACTGAGTTTTGCACAGCAGATCAAAATTGGAGCCAAAGTATGTGCAGTAGATACAGTTAATCAGACAGTGTGTCTGCCTCTTGCCAACCCATATTGATTGTGGACACACATTAAGAGCTATTACCTACTGTTAGTTGCCTTGGCTTATGTCATCAGTTCATTCACGTACGTTGGTTTGTTAGTTATGATATCAGTATAATGAGCTTAGACATCAAATGAGCAACATACCAGAAGAATTACAAAGAAATGCACACTGAGGGTCAGTTAGAACAGTTTACAGCAGAACAAGACATGGCTTTGCTACAGAACTGGGAAGTGTGTTGGCATTCATAAGGGTTGACTGTCATGTCCAAAACTGTCAATCACCTCATCAACCACATTCGGTTAATTATCATCAGACGACTCCTATGAAAAACATTTATTCAGTTCAATTCAATTTTATTTATATAGCGCTTTTAACAATGGACATTGTCATAAAGCAGCTTTACAGAAATCTGGATATACAATTTACATTTAAATTAAGGTTGTATCCCTAATAAGCATGCCAGAGGGAACAGTGGCAAGGAAAAATATCCTGAGACAACATGAGGAAGAAACCTTGAGAGGAGCCAGACTCAAAATGGAACCCATCCTCATCTGGGTGACACCGGATAGTGTGATGATAAATCAGTAGCGTCAAGCAGAGCTAAGTGTGTTAGTTTGAGTGAAAGAAAGCCTTACAGAACTTCACCAGAAGCCAATCAAAACCAGGTGTATGCCCATTCCCCTTGCCACTGAGAGCAGTGGCACTCTAGCTCATCTAAGGTCAGCTCCCTGTCAAGCTCATCTGCTGACTGCTTCATCAATTTCGGCAGATTTTGGAAGATGCTGTCCTATATCTCCTGCAAAGGTGATTTTTGTAAAGCTTTGAGGAAAAAAAAAGCTTGCAACTGTCTGAGATCCTGTGATTCTTTTCACACTAGCATATATAAACCTTTTCTGTCCATTTCTTTGCTCAAAACCAAAGAAGAATTAGAGTTAGACCAAAGAGAATTAGAATTTCCACCACTTCAGTCTCCAGAGCTTTAAGAGATCTTGGACATCTCTCAGGCTACTTGGACCTTTCTTCATTCAGAAATGACTCCAAACCAGTTAATTAATTTTAATGGTACTTCTAGTGTTAAAAAATAATCGGGATGACATTCTCATGCAACATTTGACCAGTTAAATGGTTATTGCATCTTATTATTACTAAGTTTTACTGCAGCCATCTTTCATCATGGGGTGAGGAGTTCACCTTTGTGAATTATGTATTTTCACACGCATACATTTATGTGGTGTATTTCCGTTATGTGTGTATTTACCCTGTAGCTAAACAATGCTACACATACAGCCAGTCCTAACCTCTACCTCAGAAATTAAAAGGACATATTCTGGATCTTCATTTTTGAAAAATAAAAGCTACAGTTTCTGTTAAATCCTCAGTGGTACCAGACAAATGTCTCACACAAGGTAAATGTGTTCCATATTCCTGAAAATATGCATACATTTGGCCTCTATAACAGGGTAAAAATACAGATAGACATGCAATCACAACTGGAAAGTGTCATAACTAATATAATTAGGGTTTTTTTTACTTTTTGCCCTCATATCAACTAAGACGCTGTATTTCATAGTGATTAAAGCCTACAATGACTCTTTGATGAAAAAGTTCCTGCTGAACTGATCTGTGTGTCCTGACTGAGAGAGTGAAGAGTGTGTTATTTTCTCTCTGCAGGTTGTGTAATTGTGATGTCTCAGATGAAGGCTGTGCTGCTCTGACTTCAGCTCTGAGATCAAACCCCTCACGCCTGAGAGAACTGGATCTGTCTAGAAATAAACTCAGAGACTCAGGAGTGAAGTGTCTCTCTGCTGTACTGGAGAATCCTCACTGTAAACTGGAGACACTGAGGTAAGATCATCTCTCTGAGAGTCACATGACCTGCTCCTCAGTAAGACACGCTCTCTAATAGTGAGACTGAAGCAGAGGTTTTAGATTCAGCATCAAATCCTGGGGAGTTAAATCATTACATTTCAGTGCAAAATGTGTTGTGTGTTATCTAGACACACACACACACACACACACACACACACACACACACA